GAGGTGCTCCTGACTTTTCTTCAGGTAGGCTATAAACAGAGATGTTAGAAAATCAAAACAAAAGACCACCGAAAGTGAACCGTACCCTTTATATGAACCATATAACTATTGAAGTCAAAACCCGTCTGGACGAGGCGAAAGGAGTGGACAATGTTATTAACAACCTCCTGTCCATCCTCGACCACCTCAGCGTCCTCCTCAGTTGAAGCGTTCGCACCAATATCTATAACCCTGTAAGTTTTCTGCTACTAAGGAGGTAAAAGCCACGGTATGTGTGTAACAAACCAACGTCGGCACCCTTCCTGACCGTGATCATCGAGCAGTTCACCTCGTACACAACATCATGAACGAGGGTCATGTCAAAGGCATCAGAGATCATCTCGTCGCCGCTGATAACATCCTGTTTGAAAAATAACAAGTACGTTAACCATCCATCGAATTGTCTGTCAATAGGAGGGGCGGTGAAGTTCGGTCGAAAGAGAGAAAAAAATTTAACCGGCGGAGCATTGAAAATTGCCCCACAAACGGCAAACTTCGCCAAGGGCAACACGAAATGCGAGATTTTGAGAATTTCTAACCCACCTTGTAAATAATCATCTCTAAAGCTGAGGATCAGAGAGTTCGAATTTGGGGGTGTTTGGTGGGGAGAAATGGAGACGAAGAATATGTAGAGAGGGGTGAAGTGGGGTTGATGTTGGAAGGCCACATATTGCTTAGGTCGGCCTCCACGGTACCCTAAGGTGCCCTTTTCCGCTCCTAGAGCAAGTCAGCATGCAGCGAGAGACGGTGAAAATGATATGATGCTAAGCCTAATTAGGTTTTGACATGCAATTCCAATGTCGACAGCTCTAGGCCTCCGGGCTAGGAAAAATACAGGGTTTTGAGAAAAGGAGGAATATGGCGTTAGAAAGGTTAATATCTGTTCCCCTAGGATATCACAGAGTTCGATGCATTTATGTTCCATCCTCAACACAATACCGTGCTCGGGTATGGAGGTTAGTGATGAGACAGACGGGGTACTCGCCAATTCATAAAGTACCGTATCCGGAAATAAAAAACTGACTTGGTGCTCATCATACCGTACGTTAGCGGCTCGTTCGCAACGATGAGATACGGAGCTGGCAGTATGATGTGTCGGGTATACCGGATAATAATTTTCACTTGGCGCCAAGTTGTTTTCTCTGTATCCTGATATCGTACTGTACCGTACTTTTTGAATTGGCGAGTAGACTACTCGAGTACACACTTGCTGCACCCCGTCCATCCGAGTACGGGTACCGTTACTTGAACAATTGAGGAAGAAATTAATAATCGGAAGCCCTAAATGATTACTCAGGCTCAGTCCTTGTGCTCCTTTATCCGACCATCAGATAAAACAACACTCTCTCACCACTCACACCCCCCCAAAGTAGCATCGGAGGCCACAACCACCCGGATCCACGTTCTCCGGTGTCACTCTGAGCATTCCAGCAAGGCAGCTCCATCACACCAAATTGTCATCTTATTCCTCGCCAATCTCCCACTTGAGAATCTTCAAAAGGGACCTCATTCATTTTTGTCGCCACTCTCACGCGACCTAAGCCCCCCATCCCATCACCGAGCACTTTCACTCTCCAGAGTCACTCACTGGAACGAGAACTTTTCTGCCTGTTTGTTCCTTTTCAGCATCCCCCTCCTCCTCCCTTACTTTCTCCTCTCAAATCTTTGTCGCTCCTTTATTCCGCCTCAATTGAGCCGCCCATAACAACACAAACCCCCGACGTCAACCATCCAGTGTACATTTCGTCGAACCAAACACAACAACAATTGGGAAGGAAGAATAATAAAAAAAACTACCATTTTCAACAAAAAATAACAGTCGCACTGCATAGATGAACTTGACGAATTCAACTACCTCTCCTTCCCCTCCCGCCTCATTCTTGAGGCCTCTTCCGCCTCTCATCTCGGGGGTGCCAGACTCAATTGTTCTTGTTATTCTGCCTATAGCCGCTTATTGGGCTCTCTCTCTTTTCTTCCACTTTCTCGATGTCCATGATCTCCTTGCTTCGTACCGCCTACACACACCCGAAGAAGTCCTCAAAAGAAACCACGTAACTCGCCGTGAGGTAGTGCGGGATGTAATAGTGCAACAGATCATACAAACCATCGTGGGGCTTGCCATCGGTGTGTCGGAGCCAGAGGAAATGATTGGAGGGGAATGGTGGGAGATAATGGGCTTGTATTCGAAGTTTGTTTCAGTCGAGCGATGGGTTCTACGCGGTCTTGCAACTGTGGGTATTGACGGCCTTGCGCTGGAAGAGAAGGTGACCGCGGGGATCAACTTGATCGGTGGCAATAAAGTGCTAGCAGGGTTGATGGGAGTGTTGGGTTTGAACGGACAAGCGGGTTCCTCGCCGGAGATGGGAGACTGGAGATACAAACTCGTGGAAATTGTCTACTGGTATCTTTTGCCTGCTGCTCGCTTCTGGGTTGCAATCTTCATCATGGACACATGGCAGTACTTCTTGCACAGGCTCATGCACGAGGTTAAATGGCTTTACAGTAAGCGCTCTTACACGCATCATGACAAGAAAGGGAGTCTTATGATGGTTTAAACTAACATGGCAACCCTACAACCTAGAAACCTTTCACTCTCGTCATCATCGCCTTTATGTTCCTTACGCGTTCGGCGCTCTCTACAACCATCCATTCGAAGGTCTCCTCATGGACACGATTGGAGCAGGAATCGCCTACAAGATATCAGGTCTTAGAATCCGCGGCGCTATGACCTTTTTCACATTTTCGACCATGAAGACGGTTGACGATCATTGTGGATACGCCTTGCCTTTCGATCCCCTGCAGTACTTTTTCTGGAACAACGCAGGGTACCATGATGTGCACCACCAAGGCTGGGGCATCAAGGTGTGTTGTCTCCTTTCTCCCGCTGGCGCAGAATACTAACCGACCCGGTAGACAAACTTCTCACAACCTTTCTTCATCTGCTGGGATCGTTGGCTTGGAACTCAATGGACTGGCGGCGACGTATCAGCCCGCTACGCTTCATCCCGCGAGAAAGCTGCAGAGGAACCCGAGAAAGATGGTATTATACCAGAGCAAAAGGGAAATATTACCGCAACAATTCCCCAGAAAGGAGCAAATTCCACTGCCTACATGAGCAGCGGGCGAACCAATGGCCTAAAGCCAAGAATACCGAATGGGAAGCCAAAAGTGCAGGCCGACGAGTCGAGGCGACGGGTCCTCGACACAGATTGTTTAGGCGTATCACGAGAGGAGGGGAACGAAGAAACCGCCGTCGGGAATGTACGTTACTGGGCTCGAGTCAATGGGAGCGTTAGGTAGACCGACGTCTCACCCATGGGATCCAATAAATGTTGAAAAATCTTGTTTGCCGGGAAAAAAATGATTTGTCTGGGCGTACTGGGGATCGGATTGGATGGGACGGTGTGGATAGGGAAAGCTAAGGTGTGGTTGGGGGTTTATGTGAAAGAGTAGCACTATTATCTTGGATTTGTGTTTCTTGTTCTTTTTTGTTTGCCCCCTTGAGATTATTTTCGTCTGCTTTTGTTTCCAAATCCTGCGGTTCTTCACTCCCCAATATCACGCCTCCGTTCCTATCACCTGCCTATCTACGACCCTTAACCCTGACTTTTTAAGTTTACCGTCACTTCAATCCCTTGTTTTTATCAAACACTTTTCATCATGTCTCTCTTCCCCTTTTGAATTATCAGTAATAGGACGATCGATAGGTCCAGCAGACCAACTAATGATTCACTCCCCTCCCCTTCCCTCCCCCTTGTTCCTATACCAACGAGGAATCTTGATGATACCCCACGGTGCCTTTCATACATTCATTGAAACCGTGACGCTCTGTGTACCCATGGCCCTAATAACCCTGTGTTCCATTTTTTTCCATTTTTGGCCATACTCATGTATTATCACACTTTGCTATGGATGGGATTCTTATTTACTTATTCCTTCTTGCTTGTTTTTTTTTTTGTGTAGCTCTTGAGCATGATTTCTTTCTTTTTTGGAATGGAGTTTGGTATTATTATTTTTTCTCTCTTGTCCTATTGCCCGAAGTTGATGTCAAGGAAGTTGGAAATGTGTAAGCGTGTAGTCTTAGTTAGCTTATCATAGTCGGAATACGTACGTTCTCTGTCGGAAGTGATGTTGTTTTTTTATGTTTTCTCTTTTCTTCTCCTTCTCCCTCCCCCGGCAAGATGTGGGTACGGTTCCCTGGGAGGGGACATCGCCAGTCGCTCTTTTCACACTAAAAGTATGATACTCGAGTAGCAATCAACCGCCGAGTTCCTTGCGAGTTATCGGTATAGTACCTTTTTGAAATAATTGGCGTAGAGGCTCTTTCGCTTATACGGTATTGGTGTTTCTTCACCAGTACCGCACTCCACCACACCGATGATCCTCCCCCAAGAACTATATTTCGATATCTCATGCTATTCTACGACATGGTACAAGTATCGGGTCTTAATTGAAAGTAAAAGCATGTGGACGAGTTCCTTGCGCTGGCTAGTGCTACTGCGGCACTCATACAAAGTCTCCATGGCCTCCCACCATATTTGACCCCCTATATCATACTCGAGTCCAGTACAGTACAGTACTAGTACAGTACACACCGCCGTCATCATCTCGGAGCATTTCAATCGGCCACGAAATAAAGATGCTAAACCCCGAATTATCCACCCAGAGGTCTGCTTATATCTCTCCGTCAATCATAGCAAATCACCCCAAGCCTCCCCCCTCGGAATCCCATCCTAAGTCCGCCTCCGACGCGTCCCATTTTCGCTTAGTCTATCATCATACCTTTCCCCACTTTGACGCGAACGGACAACACACACTAGATCACCGAGGCCGCATTACAGTAGAAGATGCCCTGACGCCGCACTTTTTTCTTTCCCTACTCTACAGTACTCTAGGAATTGGCGCGTTTCGCAGAAATCTGATGACGCATACGGTACTCGAGTAGAGGAACTGGCTGAGCGAGTGTGCAGGGCTGAAGGGTCTGAGAGCCCGGCTCGCTCGTAGCATGAGACGGGTATGTGCCCGTACAGTTACCGTAGTTGGTTGAAGTTTGTGAACACGCCGCTAGTGCATACTTGCATCACCAAATTTCGGCCTTTCCGCAAGGGTATAGGTGGTACGTATTCGATGGCAGTTGCATTCCCAAACGCCACCCCATTACGAGCGCTCGAGTAACTGTGCTAGGTACGAGATGCATTTCCTGCTGCAGTAACATTTCTCCGCTGGCCGGCCAGTAATATGATACGGGTGCCGGTATGTGATGGATACGAGGCTCTGGCCTCTTTTTTTTTTTTTTTTTGGCTTGGTTTGGCTTTATTGCATCGGGGAGCGGGGGCGGCGGGGGAGGAGAGCTGTAGCCTGAAGGTATTCGCACGAGTAGACTATGGTTTGGTTGGATTGGATGAACTGAACCGGCAAGTGGGGAGGGAGGTTGTATGGCACGGCGCTGTATTCCTCCGCGGATGACTGATGGCTAGGATTGGTGACTGGCTGGCTGGCTGATGAATTGGGGTGCGCCCGCACTATGAAGAAACATACAGTACGAGTACCGGTATATTGACGCAGGAGGTCCACGAGAACCGGTACCGGTACTTGTACAATGTTGCCCCCGGCCGGGGAAGCGAGCACCCACCATCTATTGGCCCGCCCTTCATGGGATATGCTTAATATCATAAATTTATCCTAGCTATCGATGGGTTGTGAGATTTTGGACCGTGGTTCAGAGCATTTTGTGAGCCGGTACCCGTTCTGCCGCGTGCTCGATAGGGATCTCAATAAATTTCATTTATCCTTGTTTGCCGACCCTGCTTTAGAGCATCGGGAAACATTGCATACCGGCCATTGACGAACAAGGGGGGACCAGCAACTGGTACAAGTATGATAATAAGATACCAGTACGAGTACCGGTATTGTTTTTTCGTTTCCCTACGGTACCTTGGCGAATTCACTTTTTTTCTTTCTTTTTTTCTTTTTACCTCCCAAATACCCCTGCTTACCACGCACCAGTTCTCGCTGTGCCCCCCTCCCGTTGGAGTAAATATTATGATAGATTTGTCAACACACACAAAAAAGAGGCTCTGTCAAGGTCCTCTCTTGCACACGAGACTGGTCCCGGCGATCCACCAATTTTGACCAATATCTGTATTATATCGACAACCCTGCGCCGTGCAACTTTTTATGCCTGAACCCTTACGCCCTCTCTCTCTTCGTTCGATATCGCTGGTTCTCTCCACCTCGAAAAAACCCGAATATCATACCGGTAGAGAGTAAATGTGCTAGGACGTGATAATAATCTTCCATTTGTTTCTGTCCCAACTGAGGGCTGGGTTTGCGGTGTCTCTCCCCTTGTGCACTTGAGTGGGGCAATTCCGACATCCTGCCGGTAACATAGCCGCGTCCGCCAAGTTTCTGTACGGTACTGTACTGTACATACCTTTCCAAGTACGATACTGCCGGCCCTTGGAAATGTTTCGCCAGTCCTATCTTTCTATTGTTCGGTAAGAATCGAATTGTGGTAAAATTTTACAATGTCCCAAGAGGCATATCCGAAAACAACCACATAGCAGGTTCTGGCTGCATCATACGGTACTTTACCGTGCGGTGCCGTTGTAAATAGGTATTGCTCCTGCTGCGCAATGAATGGTATGAGGACTTTACGGACACGGTCTTATCTGGCATGTTTATCTTCTAGCTCACTAGAATATTCCGATATTGGAGGTACCTTAAATACTATCTACTTGCCATGTCACGTCATGAGCTCCCGGCCATACTACCTCTGCTAAAGATCTTGGACTAATACAAGACCATTAGCCACGCTAGAGGGCTACGAAATATACACAGAGACTAAGGGATAGACACGAGCAGTCTACCCGTGTTCGAGTCCTTACGGCGCTGCACTGCACTACGGTTACTATCCGGGCCGGGCCCCCGTAGTGCACGCGCTGGATCCCGGGATGTACTCAGTACATTGGATGCCGTGATTCACGAGATCTGTACAAAAAATTCCAAAGAGTTAGCTCTTGGCCTATAAAGTTACCACATGGAATGCGGGGGAGGTTGTACGAGTATTTTTGCCTCGGGCCACATCCAACAATTACCGTACCCTATTGCCAACTCCTTACCTAACCCGCTGACAACGCTGCGGTAGACTATCACACAGCACTAGAAGCCGTGGGCGGGAAGTGTGCTGCCCCCCTCACTTCGATCCCTTTAATCGGCAAACGACAATCAACTATTGTACAGTAGACTCATTTGGGAAAAAACCACTAGAGAGGTCCTACGCTTGCATACAAGTTACTTTGTAGCAAGGGGGGGGGGGGTTACATACTTCCCCCCTCACTTCTGACACCATAGTTACCCAAACGGGAAATAGTTCCTTCAATTGCGAGCGCAAAAGGAATGCGAGTACTCTACCCACAGAGAAGCTGCGCGGAAGGGTGCTGTGCGTGATGGTGTCCGTAAAAGCTAAAAAAGGGCCACGCCTCTCCAGGGCCCACCCGTTTGGCGACACTCCTCGGATGCTCTGCTAATGTTTTTGCCTCTTCTTCGTGGTGCTCGCACTCGGAGTCCGGGCGGGTGCGCAAGCTATTATAGTTGCTATATTGGGGGGTATCATCGTCTCACTTACGCTTGTTACTACGGGGGGGGGGGAGAATGGGCGTTTGGAGTATGTAATGGGCTTGGGGAATGGATTTGCGGTGAATATCCAGAGAGGGGAAGTGATGGGAATGTGTATCGCGCCGAGGACGTTGGCTAGCTGCCTTGTATTTGCCCGGGTAAACTAACGTGAGAGTGACAGACAGGTCATCGTTTCAGCTATTATTCACACTGGTCAAGTCTTTTTAGGGCTTATGTTCAATATCGCGTGGCCTCGGAATACGTAATTCGACCGATTAACCGTTCGGTCTGGTCAGGAAATTACACGTATCGAGTTTCTCGAGTGATGATCTGTGATTGCAGTAGGCAAATTTCCCTTTTAACGACGGCGCTAAGAGAAGGATATATAATGTTTTTGCCCCTTCGCTGCTCCTATAGACGGAACCATTGATCTTCCACCACTATTACATGTCCGAACCCGTAAGGATACAGGGGTGCAAAGGCTGAGACTCTATCGAGCAAATCAACCAAACCAAATACGCCATCAACTATCATAAAAAAACAAATCAAGAAAAAACATTCAACTCACCACCACGAAGCATCAATAAAGCCCGCGAATCGGTACGGCCTCGGAAATATAAGGAACCCCTCACAGAGCTATACCCGGGAGAATCGGGTATGCTGGGCGACTTTCCAAAAGTGCCATACACCCTCGCGGCAATTATTTCTTGTGTAAAATAACGGGAAGTTAGAGAGGGGGGCTCTGCTCATTCAGCAAGTGATCAGTCACCGACAAGCTGCGCGGGGGGGTAAAATACTGTGAAAAGCCATTCCCCCATTCGCATTTGTCTGGTCCCAAGTGCAAATTCCATTTCACTTGAGGAGTGCTGATCAAGGAATCTAGAAAAAATCGTTTTCCCTGTGAGAATAGTCCGTGATCCAGGATTTTGTTCCAAACTCCGGATCTTCCCGAGCCCCTATAAGAAGTACGCCAATCACGGGCTGGGTCCGGGGCTATGTTTATTACCATCCAGCCGGCTACCACAATAACATAGTAGAACTGCTTCCGAAATTTGGATCCAAATCGAAACTTGGAGTGGGCAGTGCATTATTCCGTGACGCGAGAAAGGACCTAGCTCTCGCTTCGTGAGGGTACCGTGCGAGAACGGAAGGGAGTGGGCCGGGCAGTTAATGGCAACGAAACCCAGTATTTGACAAGTATCTCGTAGTGACCCGGATTAGTGGGCCTTGGGATACGGGTTGAGGATTGTCTACTCTGGAAAAGGGACGGAAGACATAGCAAAAGGTGGGCCTCTCAACCCTTTACGGCGTTGAGCTTTCAACAGCAAGGTTTGCGGACATCGGTTTGGACACTTCGCTCAACGATACGGCAATAAAGGAATGGAGCAGAAATAGCCCTGCGAGCAAAAAGAGGAAGGGAAAAACGGGTAGAGAATCAAATGACTAGTAAGTAAGCCAGGTATGATACGGACGACGGAGTAGCGAGAGAGGTGGAAA